ATATATGTATCTCGCTAACCGTTCTAGCAATTTGTACCAAGCTCGGTGGTTATTGTGCTTGCCACATAAAAGCGAACCGGTGAAAATTGTTGAAATCGGACTAAAATTGAGGCCGCTTTTCATATAACGGTAAATTTCAGATATGCTTGAAACTGCAATATTTCGAAATTTAAGGACGCTAATTTACTTAAAATGTATACACCCCGGCTTATCATGTAGCGGTAGCTTTCGGAAAGGTGGAAAACATATATTAATACTTGCGCCGGGTATTTAATGTTCGGCTCCGCCCGAACTTAGACTTTCTTACTTGTTTTACATACATTTTTGGACCACTTTAATGGCCATCCTAACAAAAAATATTTTCAAATTAAAGTTTTATTAAACTCTTTGTTGCAAAAATTTCCTCCAGCTTTTGCTGAAAGGTAAATAAAAGCTCTGTGTACATTTTTAGCGCATAATTTCAAAAATGCCAAAGTTTGAGTTGTGACTCTGTTAGAGACGGTGTGCGACATGTGTCGCTACTCGCTTGAGCGCTGACCCCCCATGCGACCGCTAACGTAACATTTTTTGGCGAAGGTAAGTTTTTTTTTTTTGTAAGTGAAGTCGAAATTATGTTTTTGTTTTAAGTTAACGATAATAGCATACTTTAATATTTTTGATAACACACACTTCGTTTTTTTATTTTCCAAACTCTTTTTTCGACATTTCACTGGGGACCCCATGCGACTAATTGTGTGATTTTCTTTATGCGTCTAATTAAGGGTTAGTCAATTTCATATTGGTGTCTCGTTTACTTACCAGTACAGAAAGCATACTCTCGAAATCGCCTGTCGCCGGAGAGGCATCCAAATACTTCTCTTTGATGAAGTAGCGCGTGTCGTTCTTATCAATGGGCTCCGTGCCCTTTAACCAGGTAATTTCACAGCGCGGCACACACTCGATGCGGCATGTAAGATTAGCTGTGCGCGATGTATGCAACATGCCCGTATATGGCACCAAATTCTTGATGAAGAATGGAGGTGCATGCACCTCCAGATTGATAGTTGCCATTACACCTTTACCACCTTCATTGAATGCATAGCATGAGTAATTTGTGCGGCTATCCAAACCCACCGGCTCAACAGTCCAGTCCTTGGTGACAATGTCCTGTAGCGGACCACGTCCACCGCGCAACCAACGGAATCTATGTGGATGCATTAACATTTGGGCACCATGAGTAAATGCGCCCATTTTTCGGTATAATGAGAGTTGGTGGTGTTGTTGTAATGATGGATTGAAGTCAAGTGATGTTGATGATGAATCGAATGATGATTGTGATGAGGTGTCAGCCATGTTGGTTTTCGCCACATTGTACAGTGTTAGAATTTGTGATTTTGGTGAGAATGTGGTGAGTGTAAGCAATGTACATAGAGGAGTATGATTGTTCAGGCCAATTAGTGCATGGGTTTCTTTTTGTATCGTTTGGTTGCTATGTTGTTGTTGGTGTTGTTCAAGCAATGGTGAATTTTGTCGTATCAACGCCTCATAAGCTGCCTCAGCCTCAGAGGGTTGCAACGCTTGTACGGTATGGAAATGAATAAGGAAATTATCACCCGTTTGGGGTGTGGATGCAGCGGTTGTGGTGGGATGTGATGTATATGATTTGGTTGATTTCTCAGATAAATTGGTTTTAGGAACAATGGAGTTATATGATGATGTATATGCGGTGTTTTTGTACGACTTTACAGACCTATTAGATTCAGGATATCCAGGGTCGTCCACGGAGCATGAAAATGTTACACTCTTCTTCTTCACCGCAATTAAGGGGAAGTGAGTGAGCGTGGCGGGACCGGGTTCGTAATGCACCTGCGTGTTAAAAGTAATGATAATTTGTAGAAAAATATTGATTGGTATTGCATTTTTATAATAGTATATCAATGTCTTCAGAAATTATAAAATATTCACTAATAAGAGTCGTGTTTATCTAAATCTAATGTGACCAATTATTTCATAGCTCAAAGAAATACAGGAGCTGAGAGCAAAAATAGTATGAAATAGTAATGAGAAAATGGTAAATGTAGAACATACAAAAACGGTGATATTGTGCCAATTCAACAAATTAAATTAAAAATTAAACTTTATTCAATAACAACACAAAATTAGAGTCCAAAAACGGAACAACATTAAAATGAACTTTTACTTCCATGAAGTGCATATGGCTGAGATTATTTTTTCTTAGAAATAATTGTAGGGATATTATAAATACGAATATTTAATTTATAATCAACGATGCTTTCTTCGTTACTATTGGGGCGTTCAGTTTTATTTCTCTACACGAACTTTAGCAGTTGTTTCAGAGAACATAAAGTGCGTAAAAACATTAAGGGTTAATATAATCTATTCTATATTTAGCATCATATTAGGGCTGATGATTTCACCCGGGTAATGAGCTACCCGGGTACCCGGGTAGCGGGTGAAGCCCTACCCGGGTATTGAATTACCCGGGTATTTTATAACCCGGGTAGACCCGGGTAGACCGGGTACCCGGGCAGTATGGTAATTACCCGGGTACCCGGGCACCCGAAAAAATGTGGAGAGGTGAAAATTAAACGCATTTACGATCATATAACGCAAACGAACGTACATAGGGAAAATCTATAAAAATCTTCCGTACCATATGGGGAAATATTATAATATACAACACATACATTGCACTTGACAAATCCGTCATTCATCACACAAGCGTACTTCCAAACCCAGCTTGATTTAGGCATGTCTAAAATATTAATATTTACGAAGTTGGTAATGCACG